CCTTGACAACGCACCAGGACACTCGCCCCTACTGTTGTATCATCACCCCAGTGTAAAAGTGGTCTTCCTTCCTCCCAACACTACGTCGTTAATCCAGCCCATGGACCAGGAGTTGATATGCAACGTCAAGGCTGCATTCTCCGCAAAGAAGTTTAAGCTCCTGAACAACTACACCAACACCAAGGATGAGTTGCGGAACCTTCTGAGTGGCACAGATAGCGAGAGCGAGGATCCACAAGAAGAGTTGGCGGAGCATGAAGTGTGAGTAAAACAGTTTTGGAAAATGTTTAACGTCAAGAAAGCTGTTGATTTCTTGGTGGAGGCATGGGGGCAGCTGTCTGTGGCAACGATTCGTCACGCGTGGCGGCATGTGTTGCAAGGTATCTCAGGTGGGAGGAAGAGGCAACCTGTGACTGTTGAGGTTCAGTCTGTTGCAGTGGCAGTGGACCTTGCAAGAGAAGCTGCAAGCACCGAGGACAAAGTCCACGGTCTTTACGACTGACAAACATTAACTGATGTCTACCAGTGTCAGTGTCCCTCAAAGTGCCACCAGTGATAAACACTTCCGTCCGCCCACAACAGATTTCAACCGATGGCCACCAATCACTTACTCCCGACGCACTCTGTATCATCTAAAGCGTGGCAACGGTTATCCTGATGGCAGTGTTATAGCGCTACTCAAGTCACTGAAAATATTCCACGCGCGGAGCCGTAGACAAGGCCGTCATACACATAAGCCCATTAGAACCGTAACCTCCACTAGGAAACCGGAGAAACCCACCCCTGACAGACCATACCACCACACTGAAGTTCCACGGATATGGTATGATCTCCCGTCTTTACTGCTATCCAACGTCACTTCCCTAGCTAACAAGTTCGACGAGCTGGCAACTACAGTCAGGTCAACCGCCGCGCGCGTGGTTGCCATATGTGAGACTTGGCAAATTGTACCTGAAACGTGTCACATTGAGGGATATCAACTCTTTCATCACCTTCGTCCACAAAGACGCGGAGGGGGCGTTGCCCTCTTCTGTCAAGATGACCTACGCCCGTCACGCCTGGATGTTCAAGTCCCAGCAGATGTGGAAGCATTATGGGTACGTGTCGTGCTGCGGGCACACCCACGCAACACTGCCTCCATTATAATCTGTGTGGCATACCATCCGCCTCGATCACCCACCAGAGACACTCTTATCAATCATCTCATCACCACCTCAGACCACCTCAGAGTTAGGTACCCATGTGCCAAGTTAGTATTATGTGGGGATTTAAATGAAATTGACACCACTGATATCCAGGACCAGCTATCACTATCACAAGTTGTGACCTTCCCCACACACGGTCAAAACACCCTTGACCTTATCTTAACTGACTTAGCGGACCAGTACCAACCTCCTCAACCACTGCCTCCTATTGGGTGTAGCACACACTTATCAGTGCTCTGGTCCCCTGCTGCCACTCCCACTCAAGTACAGAAACCCTACATCAAGACCTACAGGCCGATTACTGACTCTGCAGTACGCCTCTTTGGGCAGTGGATAGTTCACTATCCCTGGACTGAAGTAATCAGCGTGGATGACGTGGAAACCAAATGGACAAATTATACCAACACCACCACCGAAGCTCACCACCACTTCTTCCCCGAGAAGTCCGTCATATCTCACCCAGCTGACTTGCCCTGGATCACACCTCGGATCAAAAGACTAATGCAACAGAGAGACAGAGCCTTTCATCTCAATGACCACATCCGCTACAGGTCACTTCGCAACAGAGTCATCCGCGAAATACGCACTGCAAAGAAGTCCCACTACCCAACCAAATTACAACACCTGAAGCAGACCAACATCAGTCAATGGTATGGTAAGCTTAAAGAACTCTGTGGACTAAACAATATGACACACCCCCTCCCCTTCCTTAGCCATCTCACTAATGTTGACGCAGCTGAGCAAACAAATAACCATTTCGCTACTATATGCCAGACGCTCCCACGGCTTGACACAACCACTCTCCCTGCTTACCTACCAGCCCCCCTTCCCACTGACTTAGTAGAAGAATTTGACGTAGCAAAACGCCTGGACAAACTAAAATTAAAACGCTCTACCACCCCCATTGACTTACCAATGAAACTATTCAAGGAGTTCTCCCCGGAGCTTGCTAAACCCCTCTGCTCCATCATCAATGCTTCTCTCAGTCAAGCCAGATGCCCAGCTGACTGGAAGACCTCTTATGTATCACCAGTGCCCAAGTCAACCAGCCCACAATCCTTAAATCAGCTACGACCTATTGCAATCACCCCAATACCCAGCCTAATCTGTGAAAGTTTTGTGTTTGACTGGGCTTATGCTGATATTGCAGGAGTCGTAGACCCTCAGCAATTTGGCAACATGAAAACTTCCTCCACCACTCACTGTCTTGTCAGCTTTCTCGATTACATATACCGCCATCTCGAGAAACGAAAAACGTCTGTAGCTGTCGCCTTCATTGATTTCACTAAAGCGTTCGACCTAGTCGACCACAATATAATCATAAACAAAGCTATTGACCTCGGGCTTCGGAGAAGTCTCATACCATGGCTTACAGACTTCCTCAGTGACCGACGCCAAGCTGTACGCTTCCGAGGGGCTGTCTCCACCTTTCAGTCACTCACCTGTGGCGTCCCCCAAGGCACCAAGATGGGACCACTCTGCTTCCTTATGCTCATCAATGATGCCCTAAGAGAAACCCCTGCTCGCTGGAAATATGTCGACGACTCCACCATTGGGATCAGCGTCAACAATTCTGCTCCCAACTATACCGCCCTTCAGGATTTATTGAACAGTCTCCAAAACTGGGCCACCAACAACCATGTCACCATCAACCATACCAAGACCATGGTTATGCACATCAACCTCTCCTCTGACATTGTCCCACCTCCTTCCATTACCCTAGGTCCGAACACACTCCAGGTTGTAGATTCCACGAAGCTCCTCGGCGTCACCATAGACAACAAACTAAATTGGAAACCACACGTCAGTGAAGTTGTCAAATCCTCCAGTTTCCGTCTCCACCTCCTCCGCCGACTCAAGTCCCTCGGAGTTCCCGCACACGAGCTCCTCAGTGTATACACAACATTCATACTTCCCAAGCTCACCTATGCCTCCCCCACCTGGTCTTCCTCCCTAAATGCCACACAACGTAAACACCTAGAAAAAGTGCAAAAGAGGGCATGCAAGATTATTCTCTCCCCTTCCTACTCCACATATCAAGAAGCGCTCAACACACTGACCCTTTCGACTCTCACTGACCATCACCACGGCCTCATCTGCAAATTTGGTAAGAAGCTTCTACACCATCCCCGACACCGGCCCCTACTACCACCTGAGATCCCCTGTCCGAGAATTGCTGTTCGACACCACAACCGCATCCAGCCCATACGTGCACGAACTGATCGCTATAAGAACAGCCCAGTCCCAACCATTGTAAAAATTATCAATAACATGTAATAAATCAGTGTATTCACTCCCAGTAAACACTGCTCCTTACACTGTCACTATGTTGAAATGAACTGTATTTTGAGCTGATCCCCATCTACGTTACTATATGTCTTATTTGTGTCACTTATGTCACTTGTATATTATTTGTAATTCGTAACCCATTCCCCAAATATGTAACTGTATATTTTCAGCCTTCTGGCTGCCAAGCTCTTTCAATAAACCGTTAATTATTATTATTATTATTATTATTAGAGTGTTACAGCTGCAGGCTTCTCCGAGACCACCAACGACGACATCATGGAGGTAATCAGGGATCCTGAAATGACTGCCGACGAGATGTTGGAAGACGATGACGTCAGTGAGGAGGCAGGTGGTGCGGCAGCACGAGAACAGAAGTTAACACATGGTGATGTAAAGGATGCCATCTAGTTTGCCGAGAAACTCAAGGTCATCCTTTCCAAAGACCCTGTCAATCACCGATATGAAGTCTCCACTAACCATCTAGACCAGGGGTCACCAAACTTTTTTCACAGTGGGCCGGATAACTGAAAGAATGACGAGCGCGGGCCGCATAATCATTCTGTTCAATACTTGCAAGCCAGAACGAAAGCTCTGGTAACGTCAGAGCGTAGGCGGAGCTACCACGAGCCGGGGAAGGACTTGGGATCCGGCCCGCGGGCCGTAGTTTGGTGACCCCTGATCTAGACCAAAGTATGGAGCCGTATATCAAGATGTATCACGTCCACATCAACACTAGCTGTCAGCGTAACATCACTGACTGCTTCGCCCGCAACCCACCACAGCCAGCCCAAGTCAGTGAGTGATGATGATGGTGACTTTGAGGGGTTTGTCAGGGAGGCCCTGATATCTGTGGTGGATAGTGAGAGTGATTCACCTGAGGGCCACTAATCTGCCCTGTGCCTCGGAACCAGCCCCCATCCCCGTATGCCGACCCATCTCTTCTACTAACGTAAGTGTTAACCCTAACCTTGTTTTTTTCTAACCTAACCTACAGTATATTATTCTCTTATTGATTGTTCTCTTCTATATTATGTGTGTGTGCATACCATCATAAAATTAAGATACTATTTTTACTACAACGTACGTATTGTGTCGGAAAAAGTGGAGTTTGGGGGTCGGCCCAGTCTCTATTTCAATTAATCCTATATGTTCTGTTACTTCGTTTACGCGTTTCTCGTTTTACGCGGACCTCCACGGGTTCAATTGACCGCTTAAATGAAGACTATACTGATAGCGAAAGTAATGAGCGTTATAATGAGTGTTGTAATAATAGTGAAAATGTGTGGACAAGAAGTGACTTCTTTACTGAATGCTGCGTGGGAAGTAGGGCTGGGCAGCAACTGGCCAATCGCAACTCGGGGCTGCCGTTTAATCCTCAACTCTATGATGTAATTTTTCCTCATGTTTTCTTTGGGTATTAATGGACATTAAAGAGCATGGATTTTAGGTATAACTATGGTAATGTCTTGGCAAAATTATATATTTGGGTAAATAATGTCACTTTCACTGGCACATTAGTTTAATATAAATATGCACATACGAAAAACTATACAATCATATAATATTATAACATAACATGGGAACATTAAACACTAATTGAGCAAAAAATATCAAACAGAAGTTAACATCCTCTGATTTGGTGTAAAATTTATACATCCACCTTGGAATTTCACAGCCTCAGACAAGGCTATTAATGAATTAATAGAGGGAGTTTGCAGAGTGTTTCTGGATTTTGTTTTCATTAAATTAAATTTAGAAAATAGTCTCTCTGCATCTGCATTGGATGTTGGAAGAGACAATACCTGCAAAGCAAATGTACAAAGGTCCTTAAATTGGGAAACACCTACACCGTCCTTAAGTTCCCCTAGTTTTGTATAAACGTCCACTATGTCACTGCTGTCCTTAATCTCAGGTGGTATAGCAATCACATCTAAGTCTCTCCATTGATCATCTAAAACTTGTATACTGCCACTGTATATGCGGGGCACCGCCTTCACAAAGTCGTATAAGGATGGCATCTCCTTCCTGGATTTAGTATCAAATACCCTATTTGATGACAGAAATGAACACATCCATAAAAACTTACTGCCAAGCTCAAATCTTTGACGTAATTGCACACAAAGATTTATCATGAAGATACGACATCTGAATTGTACATCCTTGACCGCATTAGAGTGTTCTCTATATTGTTCACTTTGCAGTAGGCCATGTATTGTTGCTCCCAAGTATATTTGGCTTATTGGGAGGTGATTTTCATCATCTCTGGGATCAACTGCATCAAGATTACCTGTTTGAAAAACTTCAGGACGACAAAAATATCCCAAAAGATTCCTGTAAAGCTGACATATACTATCGTGTAACAAATGTATAGTTGGTGACTCACTCTGAAACAGTAGATTTAACTTGTTACATTTGGGTAATATGAAATTAAGAAAATTGTAGTACAATAAAAGTGAAGGGTCCCTAAAACTCTCTGCTATTTGTTGTACAGCCATCAATCTTTCCTCTGATTCTTTTAAAGTAAAAAACATTTTTAGGGGCTGCCACTGTTCTAATACTCTTTCAACTGCTTGGTGGAATGATAACCAGCGGGTCTGATTTACATGCAGAACTTTGTGTGGTTTGACTGTACAGAATGATTGAAATTCTTTAAATTCATGTTGTCGTTTGGCACTGTGGGAAAAATAAGTATATATAAGTCTTATCATGTCTTCACAACGCCGTGGTAGCGTTTTTGCAGCCTCTGAAGTGCATAAGTGAATAGAATGACATATACATTTCAATATGGTTATACCAGGAATAGTGATACATAGCCTGCTGCTTATAGAATTGTGTTCTCCCATAATGTTACTAGCGCCATCAGCAGCAAAGCCAATCAGGTTCCCATGTGGAATTCGGTGTGTTTCTAATGTTTTCATAATTAAATTATACAAATTTTTCCCTGTTAACCCTGTAGATAATTCATCACCATATACATTGATCAGCTCTAATAACCCAGATTTAATGCTGATTGTGGTTGAATCCCAAAATCTTACAAGAACAGAGTATGCTTTCATCGTACTAATATCTGTTGTTTTGTCAACAATAATGGAAAATTTGTTTTCTCTAAGCTTATCTACTAAATCCTCGGTGACACACCGTCCTAACGTCCTCACAACCTCTGTGCATTTTGTTCTTTTCATGTTCATGCCTTGAGCAATTACAGAATCAGGAAACATCCTCTTCATGAGGTCTACTAAATGATCTGCAGTGGTAAATGGCAAGTTGTGCTCGGCTATAAAGCAAGCAAAAAGAATTGTTGCTACGGCTACTCCATTTGCTGCATATTTCCCATGGTGGACCGGGATCCTCTCCTGTTGTTCCGAGGCCTCATAAACTGCATGCATCTTTGATGTTTTGTGACGTTTGATGGCTGTCAACTCTGCACTCACTTCCCTCTTGCATATGTTGCAAAAGGCCCTCGATGGATTGTCCTCAACACAGCACAACCAGGGCTGGAAATCTTCAATGTCCAGCCATGCATCTCTGAAGCTCCGCTTCACAGCCATCACCACCTGCAATAGGAGACTTGATCAACTTTTGTGTAGTCTCCCCTACAAAGCCAAGAATAACTAAATCAGTGAATAATTGCCATGATTGTTCTAAGCTACTTGCATAGTCCTTTATAAGTACACAGGAAAATAATGTATATTTGGCCCTTTGGATTAATAAAAGCAACAAATGAACAGGGTGTAAAGATTTCATTTATCTAATCATTTCTGTTGCTACACTGATAAAAGAAAACGGTTAAGGTACAGTAAGATCTTGTATTTCGCGAATAGTAATATAGATTGGAAAAATTGTGCCAAATTCAAATTCGCAGATGCAAATACATAAACTAATGGGAAAAATAACAATATAGACTGGCCACTCTACATCAATCTCTCATTTTCCCATTTATAACCTCCAAATGTTACAAATTTTGCCATTATTGACCTGATTGTGCTTTATGGAAACTAGTTTTTAGGCCTTTCTCAAGTAACTTAATCACACGCTGCTTATCCTACATTGAGTACTTGGCAAACTTAACTCCCTTATGATAGTCCCGCTTCTCTTTTTCCTTATTTGGCCGCTTAGGTGAGTCTGTCCCATAACCACCAGCACCAGTAGGACCCCCAGTAGAGATAGAGGCCATTATCTTGACTCGACAGGTGGTAACACCACCCAAAAAAGCACACAATAGCAGCCCAGGCGGTTGCTATAGGATGGCGCGGGCTACAACGCGATAGTTGCGTTCTTGTAAACCTCTTTTACGTTCACCACCGGCAATTCGATCACCAGAACACTTCTTGGAAACATTCTTCTTATCTTGTCTTTCCATATTCATCGCTAACACAACAAAATTGGAGAAAACAGCGAAAATCACGAGGTAATCGACAGAAATAGCGCGATTCAATTGACCACGTGATGTAAACAGAGAGCGCTGGTGTAAACCATTATTAGTCCTCACTGCAAAACATTGTTTTTTTTGTTTTTATTTATTGGGCACACCCCACACATCCTTGTGTAAGGTGAAGCGCAGAAGCGTTTACAGCTCCCAACAGGGAAGCATGCTAAGTTCATGCTTGCCTTTATGTCTCATGAGTTAAGGGTGTAGAAGCCTGAAGAGTCAAGGGCGTAGAAGTCTGAAGAGTCAATGGTTTATGTCTCAGCAAGTTATTGGAAGCTCCAACAGCTTGTCCCTGAATACGAATTCGCAACTTTCAATTTACAGCAGGTACCTACTTTGCTGCTAGGTGAACAAGGACCAAGGGGACTAGGAAGTGTGTCCAAACAACTTCCGCCGGCCCAGGAATCGAAACCGTGACATCTTACTTGCGAGGCAAGAGCGGTACCGCTCTACCACCAGCTCCCCATGCAAAACATTCTTTTTACTTATTCTTTTCATACAATAATTATGGGTAACAGCTAAATTTGCCAAAAAAGAACGAAATTTACAGTCTCTCAAAAAACACTTCACAAACAAAAGAAACGAATCAGTTGAACATGTGATGTCGAACGTGAACTGTAAACATTGCATAACCCCACGCCACACTTAAACCGTTGAGGATGGAATCAAATACTGAGGATGGAATCGTGTTATAGCCAACATTCGTATGCAAAAGTTCGTGTTTTACAAACAGCACTCCCCTATTCATCAATCACATTACAACCAATTCGCGTTGACAAAACACGTGTTGTAGCAGAAATAACTAACTGGTATGAGGGCTGTGATGTCATTCATGACGGTGGCCAGCATTCAACCTGCTGGATCTTGTGTACAGCTGGTTGGATCTCGCGAAACTCACAATATTTTACGCCAAATATAAGACTTGGTTACATTAGGTAGTGCTCGCGAAATTCAAAAACACGAAATATGAGATCTTACTGTGTAAGTAACTGCTACATATGTAGTTACCAGTGATGAAAGCTGTGATTAATTAAATGCCAATTACATAAATAAATATAGCCTTACCGGCTTGTAGATAGAGTTCTGTGGGTACGTCCAGCCGATGATACTTCGCTGATGATGAGAGCTCTAACCATATTCATGGATGAGAACAAACTGGAGTTTCCACAGCAATCGATGGTCCCATTTTGATTTTGCAAGTCATTTATGAATCACAATCCATGTGCAGCTACTCCCCGACTTACGACCACCCGGACATACGACCGCATAAGTTGTACCAAAATTTTGTCAAATTACATATTTTCGAGTCCCAACGTCAGTGATTGCACTGTGTACTGACAAAATTTTCGTTTGTAAATTCACTTTAAAATGGCTGGCAAGCTTAAAAGTGAGAGTTTTGTGGTGCTGAGAAGAAAGAGACACCCCCATTTTAGATTTTCTATGTACAGTATTATTTAAGCATTTTCGACTAACGACCATTTCGACTTACGACCTGGATTTGGGTCCATAACTCCGTCGTAAGTCAAGGAGCAGCTGTATACAGGCATCCCCCGCGTTATGACCATTTATTTCGCGTTACGGCCCGTAAATCTGCCCTTACGGAAATTGGTGTAAATTTTAACAATTAAAAAAAAATCACTATATAAATTTCAATTTTTTCGTTAAAAATGATAATTTGTTAGGTGTGGATTTCTTGGTGTTTGCTACCGCCGAGCATAGCGTCGCCACGAGGAGTCATTCCATTGTTTACATCCAGTGTGGGCGCATTTTTCAAGCCCCAGCAGTTTGATTTAACTTTTACAAACATACAGTAAGTACAGTACAGTGCATTACCATTATTCAAGATGACTGGAAAGAGGCCATCAAGTGGAAGTGGCCGCAGTAGTGCAAAAAGAAGCCGCAAAGGCATTACATTGGATATTAAACTTGATGTGTTACGAAGGTTTGATGCTGGAGAAAAACTTAGCCAGATTGCAAAAACATTAGGTCTTGCCACTTCAACAGTTGGAACAATCCGTGATAATAAGGACAAAATTAGGTCAAGTGCTCAAGCTGCTACTCCATTAACTGCTCGAACCTTGTATTTTCATAGAAGTGATGTGATGCTGAATATAGAACGACTCCTGAGTGTCTGGATTGAAGATCAGACTAAACGCAATGTGCCACAAAACACTATGGTTATTCAACAGAAAGCCATAAGTTTATATAATGATTTGCAGGAAGAGGAAGGTGCATCTTCTGAGGTTAAACCTATTCGGGCTAGTAAAGGCTGGTTTGAAAGGTTTAAGAAGCGCCTTAATTTACACAACATAAAAATGAGCGGTGAAGCTGCCAGTGCCGATACAGAATCAGCTTATAAATATCCTGCTGAACTGAAGAAAATTATTGATGAAGGAGGGTACACACCAGAACAAGTGTACAATGTAGATGAAACTGGGCTTTTCTGGAAGCGCATGCCTGCTAGAACCTTTATTTCCACTGAAGAAATATCAGCACCAGGCTTTAAAGCATCCAAAGATCGTTTAACACTTCTTCTGGGAGGAAATACTTCAGGTGACATGAAATTAAAGCTCCTACTTGTGTATCACTCAGAAAATCCAAGGGCTCTCAAGGGCTATGCCAAGTCTAATCTACCCGTGATTTGGCGTTCCAATAAGAAGGCTTGGATGACTATGACCCTTTTCCAAGACTGGTTCACAAACTATTTTTGCCCTGCTGTAGAAAGATATAATGCCAAGCATAACATATCTAATAAAGCATTGCTCCTCTTAGACAATGCACCAAGCCACCCAGTAAATTTAAATGATCTTTCTGATAATGTGAGAGTGGAGTATATCCCCAAGAACACAACTTCCTTGCTGCAGCCAATGGATCAAGGTGTGATAGCTAACTTTAAGGCATATTATCTTAGGAAAACTTTTTTGCAGCTCATAAAAGCAATTGATGGGGAGGATAAACCTACAATTAGGGACTTCTGGAAAAAGTTCAAAATCTTGGATGCTGTGGATAATAAAGCCGAGTCATGGGATGAAGTGAAAACCTCAGCTATGAATGGTTCATGGAAAAACATATGGCCAGAGTGTGTCCATGAATTTCAAGGTTTTTCACAAGCTGAAAGCCTACAGAAAGTTCAACAAGACATTGTGACAATTGCAAATAATATAGGCTTTGAAGAAGTCGTGGAAAATGATGTTGAGTTGCTCGAGTCCCATAGAGAAGATTTGACTAATGAAGATCTGATGATGCTGGAACAGGAGCGAGCTGCAGGACAAGAAGAGGATATAGAATCTCCACCCACCCCACTTCAGTTGACAACAAAGGATATGTCTAAAGCATTTGCACTAAAAGAGGAAGGTCTGCAAATCTGAGCTGTACAAGGAGAAGGTGAGCTGTAAACGTCAAACAACTTTGGATGAGTTATTCAGAAAAAAGGTGAAAGCAGATGAAGAAGCAGATGATGATTTACAGGGCAGGGCAGAAGAGAGCAGTGCCCCTCCCTCTCCCTTCCAATAACTTCCTTCGCACCACCAATCCTTACGCAGCAGTCAACATCTTTTGTGGTAAGTACAGTACAATATTTTTATTTATTCCAACTGTATTTCACTTCATATTACATGTATATCATGAATTATTTAATGAACTGTATTGTATGTGTTTATAAATGTTTATTTTCATTCATAAAAGTGCTTGCATTACGTTTTTGGGGCCTAAAAAAATTCCGTAGGAAAGCATCTCCAGTTTTATAATGGAAGTCAATGGGAAAATAGGTTTTGCGTTACGGAATTTCGCGATACGGTCAATTTTGCAGGAACAGAACCCTTCCGTAACGCAGGGGATGCCTGTATTATACATTATCTGCTGATATATACTAAAGGAGTTGATAAAAAGAGTCATATACAGGTAGTCCCCGACTTACGACTGCCTCAACTTACGTCCATCGGTACTTACGACCTGCTCTGACCTTACGACCGTTGGGACATACAACCGCCGCAGTCGTGACCCCAATTTTATTTTTTATTTTTTTCAAATTTTCTATACCAAAACGTTTCCAGTTAATGTAGTCTCCATGCATAATTAGAAAATTATGGGGGCCCTGTGTGCATTCAGCTAACTACATTAAAGGTA